TCTCTCTCTCTCTCTCTAGCTGTGTGTGTGTGTGTGTCTCTCTCTCTCTCTCTAGCTGTGTGTGTGTGTGTGTCTCTCTCTCTCTCTCTAGCTGTGTGCGAGTCCAAAGTGACTGTTGTTGTTGTGGCATTCACCCAAGACACGAGAATGAATTTCCTCACAATCGGGCATGCACAACCGATCACGTTCCTAGCAGCATACTGCCCTCAATGCGGAGATCAGGCTGCCAATCGGGGTCAGCCAGCAATTGTGTGAAGATAGGCCCAAAGTAGGGTCCTTTGGGCTTGCGAAGACTGCAAAGGATCATCTGGGAGTGTGGCTATGGTGGCACCGGTCAGCAGGGACACATGAGTACTTGAGTTGTCTGTCGAACGTCTGCTCAGAATGTTTGGCCATGGCTAGTTTGCTACCAAGAGAGAAAGAAACGAGAGAAGAGTGAGTCTGAAAGGGAAGCTCTTCGAGTGCTGGCAGTAAGGGGGGATTACTCGGACATGATTCTTGTTCATTTATTCATTCATTCATTCATTCATGTTTTCGTACTTAATTTATTATTTGAGGAGGAAGGGAAGAAGATGATGTTGGAGAGCAGGGAGTTGGATGACATTCGTTCAAACTTGCATGTTTCTTCTTCTATCCTTTTGTATTCTATTCCACTGTTTGAGGTCGGATTCCTCAATAAAACAGTTCTGCTTCCAACAAGATTTGTCCGTCCGTAATGGAGATTCCGTTGGTAGCAACATAAGCAGATACATCTCCAGCTAAGGTCGAGGTTCCGAGGGTTCGGTTGTTCGCCGATGAAAGTGGTTAACTCGTTGCCGTGTCATCTCTTTCCACTTCTTCTTGAGTTCAGCAGTCTTTCATTATCTGAAAATTTGAGTTTTGCCTGTGCTTCTGAGCAGGGTCATTGATAATCAAGTGAGAGGAAGAAGAAGAAGAAGAAGAAGAAGAAGAAGAAGAGCAACAGGGACATGGGCGCTCGGTTTAGAATAGCAAAACAAAAAAGAGGAAGATGATTAATATTTTGATTATTGTCCTTTATGGACCATAGAATTGATAGTTGGAAGTTGGAACAGAAATTAAATTTAATTAATACAGTTATGTATACAAAGCTATGTCATTCCATTGGCATGTTCGAGATCGGAATAGCTCTGTCATTCTGTTGACATGCTGGAAACTCCAATTTGTTTTATGTCTCCTTTTTTGTCCTGTGCACTGTCTGCAGTCTGGCTTTGAGGGGTTTGTTAGGGACAAATACACAAGTCTTCCAGAAACAAAAGACAGAATCCTTGCTACCAGCATAGCTGCATCATGGAGGTAAGTTTGGGATACCCCAGCAAAGGGTTCCTTCTTCTTTTTTTTTTCTTTTCGTTTTTTGATGTTCGGGGGAAGGCGAAGCAGGTTTTGCTTTTGCTCAGGTGTTTTCAATTGCATTGAACCTTCTGCTATGGACTCTACTTTTCTCAATCTGGTGGCCACACCAGGCTTTTTTCTCCTGCAATTTCTGTTCAAAACTTGAGAAGTTTTTGTACTCTTGTTTTTCTCCCCCCCCTTCGGTGTAGCCGTCTGAAATTATGGAAGCGTGTAGGATTTAACTTCATTTAAGAGCCATAGCCATAAGGTTCTTTTTTTTCCTGAAAATTTTAAAAATAAAAATAAAAATGAAAATAAAAAGAATTTAAATAAATTTAATAAATAAATAGATAAAATATTAAAATGAAGTTTGTTGAATTTTGAACTGTGGACCAGCGCTCCCATGGGCTTGTACCATTTCATTCAGCCGTCAGGCAAGCAATACATTTGTGGCAACAGTCTTATGCCGCCCAATCTCTTATTAAGATTCAGGAACTCAGCAATGACGATGAAATACAAGCGTCCATCCACAGTTTGCGTGATCTGTGTTGGCGAGGATGGTACAAATGCTAACCTTACGTTACTTTACCGAAGCGGTACAGAAACATTCAAACCGCCATGTTTGTGCATTTCTCAGCACGGTGGAAGACCACGATAAGTCATTATGTGTGTATGTGTGTCGGCAAGCGGGGGGCACAAAAGAACACAGTGAAAGGATTCGTGTGTCTCAGAACGCGGTCCAGGCACCATGTCCCAATTTCCCCCTTGTAAGTAGACCTTCCGAATAGGTACCGTACGACGGTAGGGCCTTCTACTGTACGACGGTAGGGCCTTCTAGAAGCCAGGTAGGTTGGATACTGTAGATGTGGGAGGAGTCTGTAGACGTCAGTGCCAGTCAGTTAGTTGCCTCCCGCATGTCGTCCCCTGGTCAGTTGCAGCTCAGTCCATGGAAATTCCAGCCGCAACCCAAATCATTGCCAGCCGCGGCCAGGGCTGAAAAGGGACCAATACCCCGAGTCTAATTTTGGAACGTCAGCAAGTGCAGAAGTCAGGTCGGCAGCAGTACTAACACTTTTGGACATCCGTGAGATCATGGAAGGGCTGCTGTGTTATTGTGTGACAGGAACACGGGTGTGAGGGAAGGTTGTTGAGTGTGTGAGCGTAGTTGCAGTCAACGGCACTTGGAGCCACAGCCGTAGAGATGGAGGTGAAGACATTCAGAGAGGATCATAGAGCCTCTCTGTGTGTGTGTGTGTGTGTGTGTGTGTGTGTGTGTGTGTGTGTGTGTGTGTGTGTGTGTGNGAGAGAGAGAGAGAGAGAGAGAGAGAGAGAGAGAGAGAGAGAGAGAGAGAGAGAGAGAGAGAGAGAGACCTGCTTGCCGATGTGGCTGGCAGACATAGCCGCAGAAGAACAAAGATCTGTTGTATATATGTCATTTCGAGTCTGCAATTGAGTTCAGCATGTGCACTTCTCGTGTGAATCTTACCTTGATTGTGTGAGCTTTGCATGTCGCTACATCCATGCATTGTGAAGGGATGTGGTTGTGGAAACGCAACTCAATAGAGTGTCGCTCAGTTTCATAACTACACTGTGCAATAAACATCTAAAGGAGCTGGCACATGAGCCTCACCAGTTTCCCCAAGTCTCGTCTGTTCAATGGATACAATGAACACATGATCCAGCAGACATGCTTAAGCAAATGCAGACTGGTTGACTTAGTCGTAACTTCTGGATCGCCCTGCACGGGCCCAACGGTTTTGCAGCCCAACCCTAAACAGTGTATTGTACTCGTGAATAGTTTGTGCTTTGCCCTTGTTACTTGTTCAGTGTGTTTCAATTTTGCCCATGTTACTTCGAAACTTCGAAACTTGAGAATGATCTGTTTGTCGGAACTTTGTCCCTATGTTTTGTTTTGTTTTGCTGAAACTGGCCTTGGGTACTTCTGCCAATTCTGCTCCTGGGACAAATTTGTAAAGACTTTTGGCGAAAAGGATTTGGATTTGGCCAGAGCCCACCAGGCCTTTTCGGTGCATTTGTGCCCTGCATAAGAATTGGCAGAATACAGCAGAACCAGCCAGCCCATGGAATGTTTTTTTGGTTTTGTTTGGATCAGATATTAAACTGATGATCAGAATAGATATACTACACTTTATCTATTTTTAGCCTAGAGGCTCTATCTAGGCCCAGTTCCTGAAAACAGGCCGAGCCCAGAGGCCCGTTGACTATCTGCCCAACAAACAATATATAAGGCCAGCCAGTCCTGTCCAAGAGAATGGTTGATGCCACTAGCCTGCCCTTACGCTGACTAAATTAAGTCACACTCGTGCTTCCATCACTGTCGAAGTGAAGACCAATGCACTTGCACTGGCTTGCAGCTTCAGGTTCCGGGCTATGGTGGCAGGAGAGTAGAATTGGCCCAAGAAGGGCAAGAAGTCGGCAGGCGGCTGTGTTTGTGCAATGTAGATCAGACGGGAGGCTATGGTGTATGGGGAAGAAGAGTAGACAAGACTTGGGCACCGGTGTTGAGGGCGCTTGTGGGTGGTTGTTGACTGCTTAGTGAAGGTGTTACGGACTCCGCCAGGGCTCGATCCCTGGTCTATCTTTTGCTGTTTCAGCTGCATCCCGTTTTCGGCCTGGCACCCTTTTTCCAAACCCCTCCTTTGGTACCGTAGGATTTTGGACAACTGGCGTCATGCTGCAATTCGGGCGCCACTTTCAAATACTGCATTTTTCAGCTCTGCCCTCGGGGCCTTTGCAGAAATGCCCCTAGTACCGTACGTGTCACCAGTACTTATACCGGCTCCCCGTACGGTACGGGGACCAGTCTGGTACCAGTTCTC